GACATCCTTCTGTCACTTGTTTGGCTATGACATATATCCCTGTACTGCCATAAACATACAAAATTACACCATACATGGCCTGGGATCCCCAGTGGCTTCCCTGATGGAGATGGGTGAGTTCCCTCATCAAGAGTTTGGATGGCATCCCTTCTTTTCTGGAAGAAGCCATCTTCCTTCTGTGTTTGTGTGGGCCCCTATTTTAATTGTTTTCTTTCCTTTGGGTAAAAAGAGGGTTAGAGGTGAGGGTAGGAAGGTGTGAATTGAGATGAAAACTTGCTGCCCTTTTACTTCCTCATCAGCCAGAGGTTTTTTTTGTTTTGTTGTTGTTGTTGAGGTTTAAAAGTAATCTCTTCTTGGTGGTGATCAGAGGCCACTGCCATGTAGCAGTGTGATGTGTCTCCTCGGAGGGGAGGTCCCTCCACACTTTCATGGGCCAACCCAAAGGAGCCCCCAAAAATTGTTGGAAGTTATGACTCAGTGTCAAACAAAGACACACACAACAAACAAGGATATCTGGACAAGGCATGTTACTTTAAAAATATATATTTATTTATTTGAAAGGCAGTTACAGAGAGAGAGAGAGAGAGATCTTCCATTTGCTAGTCCACTCCCCAGATGGTTGCAATGGCCAGAGGTGGGACAATCTGGGGCTTCTTCCAGTCTCCCATGAGGTTCAGTGGTCTAAGCACTTGGGTCCTCTAGCACTGCTTTCCCAGGCACATTAGCAGGGAGCTGGATAGGAAGTGGAGCAGCCAGGACTCGAACCAGCAACCACATGGGATGCTGGCACTGCAGGTGGACACTTAACCTTCTATGCCACAGCATCAGCTCCAAGGCAATTCACTTCTGCAGAAGGTTGCCGGCGCCACAGCTCACTAGGCTAATCCTCTGTCTGCGGCGCCAGCACCCCTGGTTCTAGTTCCAGTCGGGGCAACGGATTCCAGGCCAGCTCTCTGCTGTGGCCCAGGAAGGCAGTGGAGGATGGCCCAAGTGCTTGGACCCTGCACCTGCATGGGAATCCAGGAAGAAGCACCTGGCTCCTGGCTTCGGATCGGCTCAGCACCGTCCATAGTGGCCATTTGAGGAGTGAACCAACAGAAGGAAGACCTTTTTCTCTGTCTCTCTCTCTCACTGTCTAACTCTGCCTGTCCAAAAAAATAAAAAACAAAAAACTTCTGCAGAAGGGTGTGTGGCCGTCTTTTTTTTTTTTTTTTTTTTTTTTTTTTTTTTTTTTTTTTCATCTTTAAACTGAAGTAGCAAGCACACTGAATGGGCAGTTACCTGGTCTTTTAAGAGGGGTGGGGTGGGGGTGGGCTTTTGGCCTTTTACATCATTGGCTGAGGCTTAGGATTACAATCTACTCAGTGATTATCTAAGCAGAATGAGGAAGTGGCACTGAGTAGAAATTTTGAACAGCCAGGTTACAGATGTGGCAAAGCTCACATATGAAACAGGATGCAAAAATGGGGCAGCAATTGGTTTGTGGCATTAAGAGGGGACAGGGCTTACACAAGTTTTAGAATCTTCAGCTTACACCATTCTTTTTTTTTTTTTTTTTTTTTTTTTTTTTTTGACAGGCAGAGTGAACAGTGAGAGAGAGAGAGACAGAGAGAAAGGTCTTCCTTTTTGACGATGATTCACCCTCCAATGGCCACCAAGGCCAGCGCCCTGTGGCCAGCACATTGCACTGGTCCGAAGCCAGGAGCCAGGTGCTTATCCTGGTCTCCCATGAAGGTGCAGGGCCCAAGCACTTGGGCCATCCTTCACTGCACTCCCGGGCCATAGCAGAGGGCTGGCCTGGAAGAGGGGCAACCGGGACAGAATCCGGCACCCCGACCGGGACTAGAACCCGGTGTGCCGGCGCCGCAAGGTGAAGGATTAGCCTATTGAGCCGCAGTGCCGTCCAGCTTACGCCATTCTTAAAACTGGAACTTTGTCTTACAAGATAAGATGCAGAGAAGCTACAGTCTAAAGTGGAGTCACTTTGCTTTGATAGAAAAGTCTTGTTTCTCCCACATTGCTGTCTCCAGCTTCCTGCTAATGTGCATCCTGGGAGAAGAAATGCTGGAGGTTGGGCTCCTGCCACCCATGAGTTCCCAGCTCCCGGCAGTTGGAGGATGAACTGGAGGCTGGTGTCTCTTTCTCTATGCCTCTCAAATTAAAAAAAAATTGGGGTTCTCCAATCCTTCGTCAGTTTCAGCTGATTGGCTAGAATGGATCAGAACTCAGAAACACTTTCATTATAGCTATGATTTTAATACCTCCTCTAAAATTCATGTTGCAATTTATAAATATTTATTTATTCTCACTTTATTTCAAAAGCACACAGAGATAAAAACAGAGACACATAGAGAAAAAGAGACACCTTTTTGTTTAAAGATTTATTTATTTGTGGCTGGTGTTGTGGCCTAGTGGGTTAATCTGCCACCTGTGATGCTGGCATCCCATATGGGCACCTATTCATGTCCTGGCTACTCCACTTCCAATCCAGCTCCCTGCTAATGGTCTTGGAATGCAGCAAGTGTTTGGGCCCCTGCCATGGAAAACCCAGATGAAGCTCCTGGCTTCTGGCTTCATCGTGGCCCAGCACTAGCTGTTGCAGCCATTTGGGGAGCGAACCAGCGGATGAAACATCTCTTGCTCTGTCTCTTCCTCTTTCTCAGTAACTCTTTCAAATAAATACATAAAAATTTTTTGTTTTTAGGCCGGTGCCGCGGCTCAATAGGTTAATCCTCTGCCTTGTGGCGCTGGCACACCAGGTTCTAGTCCCGGTCGGGGCGCCGGATTCTGCCCCGGTTGCCCCTCTTCCAGGCCAGCTCTCTGCTGTGGCCAGGGAATGCAGTGGAGGATGGCCCAAGTACTTGGGCCCTGCACCCCATGGGAGACCAGGATAAGTACCTGGCTCCTGCCTTCAGATCAGCGCGGTGCGCCGGCCGCAGCGCACCAGCCGCGTGGCCATTGGAGGGTGAATCATCGTCAAAAAGGAAGACCTTTCTCTCTGTCTCTCTCTCTCACTGTCCACTCTGCCTGTCAATTTTTTTTTTTTTGTTTTTAAAGATTTATTTTAATTATTTATTTGAAAGACAGAATTACAGAGAGAGATAGAGACACAGAGAGAGGTCTTCCATCCACTGGTTCACTCCCCAGATGGCTGCAACGGCCAGAGCTGATCCAATCTGAAACCAGGAGCCAGGAGCTTCTTCCTGGTCTCCCACATGGGTGCAGGGGTCCAAGCACTCGGGCCATCTTCTGCTGCTTTCCCAGGCCAGAGCAGAGAGCTGGATCAACAGAGGAACAGCTGGGACTCAAACTGGCACCCATATGGGATGCCAGCACTTCAGGCCAGGGCGTTAACCTGCTGCACCACAGCGCTGGCCTCAATATATAAATCTTCAAAAAAAAAAAAAAAAAAGAATTTCCTCATTGAACGGCAGTGCTACCATGATCATAAATCAGAAGACTGTTTCTGCACGTTGTTTTTGGACTCTGTACTCTCTGCCATGTCTTCATTTGTTTGTCCTCATGCAAGTCCAGCACTGGCTTAATTATTACTTCTATAGGTCTTGGTATGTGGTTATGCAAGTCCTCTAGTCTTGTCCTTCTTCTGGATACCATGGCTATTCGTGATCCTTTGTATTTCCATGTAAGTCTCATGATCAGCTTAAAATTTTTCTTAAAAAAACCTACTGGAATTTTTTTTTGAAATTGTGCTGAATCTGTAGATAAATTTGAGGAAACTCAATATCTTTACAATATTTCAATTCATGGATCTTTCAATTCATTAACATGACATATTTTCTTCCATTTATTTAGGTCGTCTTTAATTTCACTGAATGTACTTTGTCAATTTTCAATATAGAGGTTGCATATCTTTAATTAGTTTTATTGCTGTATATATTTATTTATTGGTTTTTAAAGATTTATTTATTTTTATTTGAAAGTCAAAGTTACACAGAGAGAGGAGAGGCAGAGGCAGAGAGAGGTCTTCCACCCGCTGGTTCACTCCCCAGATGACCACATTGGCCAGAGCTGTGCCAATTAGAAGCCAGGAACCAGGAGCTTCTTCCAGGTCTCCCACATGGGTGCAGGGGCCCAATCACTTGGGCCATCTTCTACTGCTATCCCAGGCCATAACAGAGAGCTGGATCAGAAGAGGAGCAGCTGAGACTAGAACCGGCGAACATATGGGATGCCGGCACTTCAGGCCAGGATGTTAACCCACTGCGCCACAGCGCCAGCCCCCTTTTATTTATTTATTTAAGAAGTACTGCTGCAGACAGAGAGAGGGAGAGACAGAAAATAAGGGCTTCGACCTTCTGGTTCACTTCCCAAATGTCTGTAACAGCTGGAGCTGGGCCAGTTCAAAGCCAGGAGTCAGGAGCTTCCTCCAGGTCTTCCACATGGGTGCAGGGGCCCAAGTACCTGGACCATTGTCTGCTGCTTTCCCAGGGCATTAGCAGGGAGCTGGTTTGGAAGTGGATCAGCTGGGATTCAAACTGGTGCCCATATGGGATGCCGATGCTGCACGCTGGGGCTTTAACCTGCTGTGCCACATTGTAAAATTTTATTTTTCATTTTTTGATGCTAGTTTATCAAAATATAATTTTTAAAAATATTTCTTTATTAATTTGGAAGTCAGAATTACACACAGAGAGAAGGAGAGGCAGAGAGAGAGTGAGAGAGAAAGGTCCTCCATTGGTTGGTTCACTCTCCAGTTGTCCGCAACAGCCGGAACTGCACCGATCCGAAACCAGGAGCCAGGAGCTTCCTCTGGGTCTCCCACATGGGTGTAGGGGCCCAAGGACTTGGGCCATCTTCTACTGCTTTCCCAGGCCATGGCAGAGAGCTGGATCACAAGTGGAGCAGCCGGATCTCCAACAGGCGCCCAAATGGGATGCCGGCTCTTCAGACAAGGGCGTTAACCCGCTGTGCCACGGCGCTGGCCCCATATATATATATATATATATATATTTGACAGGTAGAAATATATATATTTGACAAATATATATATATATATATGACAAATATATATATATATATTTGACAGGTAGAATTTACAGACAGTGAGAGAGAGAGAGAGAGAGAGACAGAGAGAGAGAGACAGAGAGAAAGTCTTCCTTCTGTTGGCTCGCTCTCCAAATGGCTGCAACGGCCGGAGCTACGCAGATCTGAAGCCAGGAACCAGGAGTCTCTTCTTGGTCTCCCATGAGGCTACAGAGGCCCAAGGACTTGGGCCATCCTCCATTGCTATCCCAGGCCACAGCAGAGAGCTGGACTGGAAGAGGAGCAACCGGGACTAGAACCAGGTGCCCATGTGGGATCCCAGCACCTCGGGCGGAAGATTAACCTAGTGCGCCACGGCGCTGGCCCCCAAAATATAATTTTTTAAAAAATATTTGTTTATTTATTTGAAAGGCAGAGTTAGTGAGAGGGACAGATGGTGAGAAAGATATTTCATCCTCTGATTCATTCCCCAAATGGTCGCAACAGCTAGGGCTGGGCCAGACCAGTAAGTTGGAGCCAGAAGTTTCATCTGGGTCTCCCACATGCTTATGGGACCCAAGTACTTGGACCATCTTTCACTGCTTTCCCAGAACATTAGTGGGGAGCTGGATTTGTGATATGTGATACCAGTCTCATAGGCAGTGGCTTAACCCATTGCCACAACACTGACCTCTATAATTGATTTTTTATTTTTTTATTTTATTTTTTATTTTTTGACAGGCAGAGTGGACAGTGAGAGAGAGACAGAGAAAGGTCTTCCTTTGCCATTGGTTCACCCTCCAATGGCCGCTGCGGCCAGCGTGCTGCAGCCGGCGCACTGCGCTGATCTGATGGCAGGAGCCAGGTACTTATCCTGGTCTCCCATGGGGTGCAGGGCCCAAGGACTTGGGCCATCCTCCACTGCACTCCCAGGCCACAGCAGAGAGCTGGCCTGGAAGAGGGGCAACCGGGACAGAATCCGGCGCCCCGACCGGGACTAGAACCTGGTGTGCCGGCGCCGCAAGGCGGAGGATTAGCCTAGTGAGCCATGGCGCCGGCCCTATAATTGATTTTTGTTAACTGGTTTTGAATCTAGCAACCATGCTATGTTCATTTATTACTTCTAACAGTATATTTTTTAGGCTTTTTAATTTATTTTCTTTCTTTTTTTTTTAAAGATTTATTTATTTATTTGAAAGGCAGAGTTACACAGAGAAAGAAGGAGAGGCAGAGAGAAAGAGATATCCACTGGTTCACTCCCCAATTTGCTGCAATGGCCAGAGCTGAACAGATCCAAAGTCAGGAACCAGGAGCTTCTTCTGGGTCTCCCATGGGGGTGCAGGGCTCAAGGACTTGGGCCATCTTCTACTGCTTTCCCAGGCCACAGCAGAGAGCTGGATCAGAAGGGAGCAGAAGGGACTCGAACCAGTGCCTGTATGGAATGCTGGTGCTGCAGACAGAGGCTTTACCCACTACGCCACAGCATTGGCCCCTAATTTATTTTCGTTTTAACAGATCTTCTATCTGTTGGTTCATTCCCCAAATACTTAAAACAGCCAGGACTAAGCCAGGCTGAAGTCAGGGGCCTGAAACTGCATCCAGATCTCCCACATGGTGGCAGGGACTCAGTACTTGAGTGATCTGCTGCACCCCAGGGTGCACATTAGCAGGAAGCTGGATCAGAAGTGGAGCCAGGACTCAAATCAGGCCCTCTGATATGAGGGGGGGCATCCCAGTGAATGACTTAACCTCTGCTCCAGCGTTTATACTCTTCCTTGTGGATTTTCTGTATGTATGAACATACCACCTACAAATGACAGTTTTGTTTCTTCCCAATTCTAAGGCTATGGTATTTTTGTCTGATTCTGTTTAGCCAGGGAAAGTTTTCAATATTTTACCACTAGGTGTGATATTTGCTATAGGTTTTTGGTGGATACCTTCTTTCAAATGTTTTAGTTCCTAACAATTCCTAGTATGATAATAATTTTTTAAAATCACAAATGGATGTCAAGTTTTCTCAAATAGTCTTTATGCTTCTGCAAAGATGATCATATGGGGTTTCCTCTTTATTTTGTTAATGTGATTAAGTATTCATTGCTTGATTTTTCCAATGTTAAACCATACTGGAATTACAGGAATAAATCTAATCTGACTGTAATGTCTTATCCTTTTAACATACTAATGGGTTCTGTTTGCTAGTATTTTGCGTGAGATGTTTGCATCTAAGTAAATAGGACATAGGTTTGTAATTTTCCTATTCTGTGATAAGCTTGTCAGGTTGTGTTGTCTCATAAAATGAACTGGAATTGTTTCCTTTTATCCATTGTTCTGTAAGATTATGGTTGTTGCTTCCATAAATGTTTACAAAGATTCACTAGTATATTCAAGTCTAGAGTTTTTTATGAGAAAGTTTAAATTGTGTATCCAGGCCGGTGCTGCGGCTCACTAGGCTAATCCTCTGCCTTGCGGCGCCGGCACACCGGGTTCTAGTCCCGGTCGGGGCGCCGGATTCTGTCCTGGTTGCCCCTCTTCCAGGCCAGCTCTCTGCTGTGGCCAGGGAGTGCAGTGGAGGATGGCCCAAGTCCTTGGACCCTGCACCCCATGGGAGACCAGGATAAGTACCTGGCTCCTGCCATCAAATCAGTGCGGTGCGCCGGCCGCAGCGCACCAGCCGCGGTGGCCATTGGAGGGTGAACCAACAGCAAAAGGAAGACCTTTCTCTCTGTCTTTCTCTCTCTCGCTGTCCACTCTGCCTGTCAAAAAAAATAAATGAATAAAAAAAATTGTGTATCCAATTTCTTCAATAAATATAGGGCCACTCAGAATTTTCTATTATTTCTTGGGTCAATTTAGATAAGTTTTGTTTTCCTAAGAATGCATTTATTTCAACTAAATTTTCAAATGCATTGTAATAAAGTTATCCTTTATTACAATATAACAATATTCTCTTGTTATCTAAAATAAGTCTCATTTTGATTCCTGATAGTGGAAAATCTTGTGTGTGTGTGTTTTTTTAAGATTTATTTATTTATTTGAAAGGTACAGTTAGAGACAGACAGAGACAGAGAGAGGTCTTCCACCTGCTGGTTCACTCCCCATATGGCCACAATGGCTGGAGCTTGTCCAAAGCCAGGATCCAGGAGCTTCTTCTGGTCTCCCACGTGGGTGCAGGGGCCCAAGAACTTGAGCCATCCTCTGCTGCTCTCCCAGGCATATTCACAAGGAGCTGGATTGGAAGTAGAACAGCTGGGACTCGAACCAGTTACCCATATGGAACGTCTGTGCTGCAGGCAGCGGCTTTACCCATTATGCCACAGTGCCAGCCCCAAAACCTTAGGTTTACTGATTTTCAGAATTGTATATTTATTTTATATTTCATTAGTTTCTGCTGTTATCTTTACTATTTACTTTCTTCTATTTTCTTTGGGGATTATTTATTCTCCTTTTCTACTTTCTGAAACACATCCTTGTGGCTAGTGGCTACCACCATTGCACAGCGCAGACATAAAGCACCCACGGATAGCAGTCCTCATCACATCTTCGTTTAATTCACTAGTCTAGTCCCTGCTAATACCTGACAGATCCCAGAGGATGAGAGTTATCAACTGGAAACTCAAATGTCGCTTAAGCTGACAAGGTCTCAAATGTAAGATATGCAATCTTTTCCATCCCTGTCAGAAAGGAGAAGTTGGACCTCTGGACATATCACCACAAAAACACAAATGTAGGAGGCCAGAATGTGCCTCCCCAAAATACAGGTCTTTGGCAGAGTTTGTCCTGGAAACAGGAGTGACTCTGGAAAATGATGCTGTTGTAAAGGAACATTACCCTCTAAGGGAACTCTACACTGTTACGTCTCTGTATCAGGGAAGAGGGCTGCCCTGAAATACTTCTATGGTCTGATAGATTCAATCTGAGAGAGAAGACAGCCTTTAGTCACCATGCGGTTCCTCCCCTCATCCTCGCTAACTTGTGTGCTCACCCCTGCCCCCCAAAACTCCAAGTGCCTACTCCTTCCTGTACCTTAGGATGGTATGGAAGCTTCAGTCACCTGACCCTTGCTGCATTCTCCCATTGTGTGGGATCCCTGTGTTGTAAATGTGTAGCTAAAAATGAGCTTTCTCCTGTTAATCTGCCTTATGCCAATTTACTTTGTAGCCCAGCCACAGAACCTAGGAGTGTGGTTTTCCTCTCTCCTCCAGAGAGCAGAAACAGTTCATGGTGACTTGGAAAACACCACACAGTCTTGCTCCAGGGCTATGTTAACCCTCCTGCCCTTTGTCACAAAGTAACCTGAAGAAATCCAACCAGCTAGACATCTCTCAGAGCATCACCATATTGATCTGCTGTGTGGATAACAACGTGCAATCAGGACTGGTTGAGCAGGAAATATTAAGTCAAGATGGTAAGATACTTACCATCCAGAGGGTAGGTGGGTGTCAACCCTTTTTCAGCTTCCCTTTGAGGCTGGTGCTGCAGCATGGTGGCTGGAGCTGCCGCATGCACTGGCAGTGCTGGCGTCCAGGTGGGCACTGGTTTGGGGCCAGGCCAAAGCCAGGAGCCAGGAGCTTCACTCGAGTTTCCCACATGGGTGCAGGGGCCCAAGCACTTGGAGCATCCTTTGTTGTTTTCCCAGGCCATCAGCAGAGAGCTGGATTGGAAGTAGAGCAGCCAGGTCTAGAACAGGCGCCCATACAGGATACCAGAGTCACAGGTGGCAGTGGTTTTACCTGCTACACCATAGCACTGTCCCCTCCTACCCCACCCCCTTTTTAAAGATTTACTTATTTATTTGAAAGTCAGAGTTACAGAAAAGTAGAGGCAGAGGCAGAGAGAGAGAAATCGATCCTCAATCTGCTGGTTCACTCCCCAAATGGCCACAAAGGCAGGAGCTGGGCTGATCTGAAGCCAGGAGCCTGGAGCTTCCTCTGGGTCTCCCACATGGGTGCAGGGGCCCAAGGGCTTGGGCCATCTTCTACTGCTTTCCCAGGAACATTACCAGGGAGCTGGATCAGAAGTGGAGTAGCTGGGACTCGAACCAGTGTCCATATGCGGTGCCCATATGAGGCAGCTTTACCTGCTATGCCACAGTGCTGAACTCAAAATAGATAAATTTCAAGAACTGTTTTTTAAAAAGAGTTAAGAAAGGAAGGGATACTGGAAAACTGCAGACAGTGTTCCTAAATAAAGCTCCCCTTTTCCTTGTTCAAGCAGAGCAGCCACCTTTATCTACTGTCTGTACTGCAGATACTCAGCATGCTGTTTCTCCAAAGGCTGAGGACCAGAAACAGCTGAGCACATCTTGGGATCTAGTGGAGGTGGAGGGGAGTTGGAGACAATAGGAAGAGATACAGCTAGCATACGTTCTTCATTCAATGCTTTTTTATTTTTTTTAAGATTTTATTTCTTGGGCCGGCGCTGTGGCATAGCAGGTAAAGCTGCCGCATGCAGTGTCAGCATCCAATATGGGCACTGGTTTGAGGTCTGGCTGCTCCACTTCCGATCCAGCTCCCTGCTAAGGCCTGGGAAAGCAGAGGATGGCCCAAGTGCTTGGGCTCTAGCAGCCACGTGGAAAATCCTGCACATAACATGGAGATCCTGGCTCCTGGCTTTGGATTGGCCTAGCTCTAACCCTTGCGGCTATTTGGGGAGTGAACCAGCAGATGGAAGACTTTCTCTCTCTCTCTCTGCCTCTCAAATAAATAAACAAATCTAAAAAAAAATTTTTTTATTTCCTTTGAAAGGCAGAGAGAGAGGGAGAGATCTTCCATCTGCTTACTCCCCAAATGGCCACAATGGCTAGGGTAGGCCAGATGGAAGCTAGGAGCCAGGAGCTTCTTCTGGGTCTCCCATGAGGGTGCAGGGGCCCAGGGACTTGGGCCATCTTCCACTCCTTTCCCAGGCACATTATCAGGTAGCTGGATTGGAAGCAGAACAGTCAGGACTTAACTGGCTGTCCCATGGGCTAAATCCACAACACTGGCTCCCATTCAATGATACTTAAAGGCTGAGCAGGGGCAGCTCCTCCCTTGAAATCTGTCCTGACTGCTGCTGCAGGTGGCTTCTTTGCTTTTAATAAACTTTGCTTAAATAATTAATATATTAAAATAAATTTTATTATAACCGTAAAGGTACACCCCTACCTTTCTCATAAATCCAAAGGATGTTATACGTTACAACTGTTTATAAACAACAACAAAAAAAGGAAGGTTTTCTCCTCCAGAATTAGGGCCCTGAACAGCCAAGAGTAAAGCTAAAAGGTAATACGATGAAAGCCCTTTAACCTGGGGGAAAGCAGGTGGGAGTGGAAAGCTTTAAGTGGTATTAATTCTGTTATCTGATGGGAGTTTTACTTCTGAGCAGTTGAAGCTACAGTCTCAGGAGGACTTAAGAAACCCTAGGTAAGAGGCAAGCACTTGGCTTAGCAGCCCAGCCCCGGATTGGCACACCCACATCCCACGCCAGACTCCTGCTAGTGTACACCAAGAGAAGCAGCAGACGTGGCTCAAGTACTTGGGTCCCTGCCACCCAAGTGGGAGGCCCTGATGGGCTTCCGGGCTTCTGCCTGGCCTAGCCCTGGCTGATGTGAGCATTTGGGGGGTGAACCAGTGGCTACAAGATCTTTTTCTCTCTCTCTCTCTCCCTTTCTTCCTCCCTGCCTTTCAGATACAATGAAAATAAAACAACAACTTGAGCCCCTCCTCGGGATCACTGCTGCAAGTTCCCAGTTTTCTAAAACAGGGACGTCACCGAGCTCACGGCATTTTTATGTTAAGTGACACATTCTGAGTTTGAGGAAATGCTTTGCGAGTGAAAGGGGATAGGGATGTGTATGTCAATGGCTTGGCTGTTGCTGTGACTGTCCCACCAGTGCTCCCGGGCCAGGGAGGAGCCCTCTAAGCCGCTGTCGGTGCCGAGCAGGGTTGAAGAATCTTCATCGTTTAGGGTGGGAGGCAACACTTTTCTTCATCAAGGCTTGAAGTTCTGGAGAAAACAGGCGCTGGGTGGCATCCAAATGCCAACTCGAGGGATCTGAAATGCATCGCCGCTGCCCGACTTGGGCAGCAGGGGGCGCTGGTCGGACCCGTCCCGGAACTCGGAGGGGTCGCTGAGCTGATGTGGGGGTCCCAGGAACCCATGCCACTCATGGACGCCGTCACCAGTGTCCACTGCTATCCTCCTGCGACCCAGCGTGGGCCGGGTCTCAGAAGGCGCTTGTGGTGGCCACCGTGTGCCCGGGCGGCCGCCTGGACGGCGCGGCCCCAGACTCCGCCGTGGAAGCCGCGGCAGCTGTTCTCCCAGGCGGCCGTGGGGGGCAGCAGAGGGGACTGCGACAGGTGCGGGAGCCCCTCCCGGGGCAGCAGTGGAGAGGCGGGCTCCGGGGTCTGTTCCCAGGCTGGATATCACCCCCGCCCCCCAGCCAAATCCCCGGGAGAGGCCCGGCCGGCGCCGGGGCTGGAGGAGGAAGCGGCCGGAGACAGTGCGATTTCACGCGGGCTCTGGGGCTCGGGTTCCCGGGCAGAATGGATGAGTTATACGGGGTTTTTGAGTCCCGGGGAAACTGAGGTGGCTTGAATAGGAGACCAACACAAAACAAACAAACAAGAAAAAAAAAAGCACCCTCCTACTCAAAAACACAGGGAGAAATAGCCACACTCAGACAGCAAGATCCCTCAAGTGACCCAACCGGCTAGGGGAGTTGAGTGATTTGGATAATGGGCGAGGCCAGCTTTCAGGGGGCCGGGCTTTGGAGCGGTTTCCCCACCCACATTCATTACCTTTCCCCTTATTCGAGGGTCTTTCGAATCTTGGCCTCCACTGAGCCCGGCTCCTGAGGAGAAGTTCGGGCCGGACCCCCAGCCTCGACCTGCTCCGCGGGGCGGTGGGGCGTGAGGCGCCTCGGGGCGCGCGGCGCCAGCCTCCCGCAACCCCGGCCGCAGCCCCGCGCGGGAGGGGGCGCGGCCGTGACTCACCCGGCTCCCGTGCTCCCCTCCCCTGCCATCCCGCCCAGGACTCGGGCTCCAGCGCCCGCCTCAGTCTGCAACCGCCGCCGCCGCCGCCGCCCGCTCGCCGGCGGCTCAGGTGGTTCTCGCTTCCATGTCCTAGTGCAGGGGCCCCCGGGCCGGACTCGGCTGGGCTCCCTTCACCCTCCGCTGGAGTCATGCGGGGAAGCCGGGCTCTGCAGGTGCTGGGTGTCCTGCTCAGCCTGGCCCGGGGCTCCGAGGTGGGCAACTCGCAGGCAGGTAAGCGGCGCCGCAGCGCCAGCCGGCTCGGGTCCTGGGAACCCCAACCGAGGGAGTGCGTGGTCCCTGAGGCGCGGGCAGGGTCTCTGGCGGTGCGGGGCCGGGGTGCTGACTCTGGGATCTGCTGGGATCCCCGGGGGAAAGAGGGCCCGCCGGGCTCGGGTTCTCGGCGTGATCCCGGCGGGAACGGCATTCCTGGAGCCCTGGCCCCATTCCCCAGGGCGTCGCGACCCCCTAATTGATCTTTGCTGGAGAAGATTGATGCCCAAACAGTAGTTCACACTTCTGAGGGGCGCTGCTGGGAGCGGGGCTGGGACCTCCGCTCTGCAGGCGTGTGGACATGGCTGGAGGTGGGGATCCCGGCAGGAGAGGCTCAGGTGCTCCCCAGCCCCCGGCCCCCACCGCGCCCCGGGTTTCAGCAACCCCCACCCCTAGTTTCGTTGTTTTGCCGACAGGGCGGAGCTACGCAAGGGTTGGAGGGGGTTGTTGTTCTCTGGTGTCGGAAAAACAGGAGAGGCACGTCCTCTTCCGTGAGTGTGCCAGCCCTGGGGACAACTGAGATTAACCAGAGGGCCAAGTCCAGGTGACCTCAGGGCAAGAGGCTCCACGAAGGCCGGCACCCGTCTGCCCTCAAAACAAAGCTGGTTGGTCCCCAGCTTGGCCAGCTGCTCTTTCTCAAGAGCCAGGTCAATGCAACTCTAATTTATTGAGCATCTAGTATACACAGAGCCCTGGGCCAGGAGCTGCAGGGACAAGCAGGTTCAGCCTTTCTGTCTGTCTTTTCTCTCTCCAACCGGAGGACCAAGAGGCTCTCCTACACCTGTGCAGCCTTTCCTAGGCCCAACTTCTGTCCATTCACCGGTTCTGTTATTGTCCAGCCCTGGCCCTGGGGCTCTGGACCGAGTTGGTTGTCATCCTTCCCTGCCCCCCCCATCCCAGCTTGGGATTTGGCAGGGCCAGGGCCCCTTCCCCAGGGTGGGAGTGGGAGAAACCACCTGTGCTTCCCCCACAGTTGCTGAGCCTAAATTTAGATCCTGAGATCTTGAGATGTGAACACTCCCAGCTGGTGGAGGGGGTGGTCTGGGAGTGGAGTGGGAGGGACCAGTGGAGCGACTGTGCCCCAGTCCCATCCAGACCCCAGGAACCCAAGAGTCTCAGATTCTGACGGCCCCTCCTGGAAGAGGCTGAAGGCAGGCATGGCTGGGTCTCTTTACCCTTTATCTGGATCCTGCAGCCTCTGGGCATCCGGCCCTGTCTCAGGCCTTCTATAGCCCCTTTGTCCAGGCTCTGATGGGGGTGGGGGATGTTGGAGGGGAGGCCTCTGGTTGAGGAGGGGCTGGAGATTCTTGCTCTGTCCCCCCCTCCCATGCTCACTACCAAAGGAAGGCTTGTCACACTGCTGCTCCCTAGGCCACTGGTCTCTGAGAACAGCAGAGATTTTTATGATTCCCTTCCCCCTGCCCTGCTCCCCCAGTGGCCCGGTTACTCCCAGAGGTGATGTTTATGCTCCTTTCCTGCCTAAGCCCTTTGCCCCCTATTTGTATAAAGCGGACTTTACCCTCAGGGTGGCAGGGAACTGAGGCTTCTCCTGCAGGCTTCCAAGCAGACAGAAAGTCCACACAAGCACTCCGGGGCAGGTGGGATAGATGAGGCCACTGAAATGCTTCCTGATAAGGAGTTCAAGGACAGATTTCTGGGCGAGGAGGGAGCTGTGTGTGTGTGTGTGTGCGCGCGTGTGTGCGTGTGGCACGTGTACGTGTATGTACACACACCACTTCCCTGTGCAGAAATCTTGGCCCCTCCCTTATCTGGGGAGAAGAATTGGCGCCTTTACTTGGAAGGGAGGTGTATCTTGCCAGAAAGGGGGTTGGCGTAGGGCTGTTCCAGAAATCCCAAAGCTTCCTAGGTTCTTCCATTTCAGCCTATGGACCCTGGAGTTTCCAAGCTCTTTTGGGAGCTGTTTGCCTCCCTGTTTCCTGGGACTAGACCACCCTTTCCCTTTCTGGGGAGTGCTGGGAGAAGCAGAGCCCTCTAAGAGACCAGACCAGGGTGGACTCAGCAGGGGTTGGGCCCTCCCCAGTACACTAGCCTTGTGGCCGCTCCTGCCTCCTACTGAGCTGCCACTGCCTCAGGGAAGGGTGGGTGGAACAGGTGGCAGGTACCCCCCTACTCCCCATGCCCCGGCCCCCCCAGACTCACACTGAGCCAGAGGAGAGAGACAGGTAGGGCTTCAGGGCCCAAGGTTTCCACAGCCATTGTCCTCCGTGTTACTGTTTCCCTCCAGGCTTCTCTGTATTTGATGAAAATACTCTTGGGCTGGCAAGGGGTGCTGAGGGAGCTGGAGTGTGAGGACTGGGAAGAGAAGCCAGGGTTCAGAGAGAGGAGGAGGAGGGCCACCAACTCCTTATCTTCCAGCCTTAAAGACAAAGCTCCCATTGACCCCCACTGCCACCACCAGTGCTCCCCACTCTAGTGAGGTCACTTGTCTGCCGAGGACAGGGTGTCTGGGGACAGGGTGGGGCAGCCCCCTCCTCCTGTAGAGAATTGCCTCATTGTGGGCTGGACTGTGGCCCTGGGCGCTGCCCCCACCCTCTGCCCCCATCCCACCCTCTGCAGACACAATAGGGGCTGTGTGCTCACCCCAAAGAGATATTTATTCCAGAGGCAGGATGGGGGTAGAGGAGTGAGGGCCCTAGTTGGGGGTGGGGGGAGAGGATAATCAAAGTTGTGGTCCTTTCCTAACTTCTCCTTTCTGAGAAGGGAAAAAAAAATCCCCTGTGTCTTCCCGCTCTGTTAACCCCTTAGTACCCTAAGGTCATACCTGAGAGGTGCCTGGTCACAAAAGGAGATCTTCCCACATTCCCCTTCAGAGTGGCAGGGGCATCTGGGGCACCCCCAGGCCTCCCTGTCTACCCCCAGCTGGGAGGGTAGAAGTCAGCTGCCCTCCAGTGCTGTTGAAAGTTGGGGGGAAGAGCAGGGCACCCCAGGGGGCGGCCTCCGGGCTGAACTTGGGTCCAGCCTGGCGCCACTCCCACCTCCGCTGCCGACAGTGTGTCCTGGGACTCTGAACGGGCTGAGCGTGACTGGCGATGCCGGGAACCAATCCCAAACTCTGCACAAGCTTTATGAGAAATGGGAGGTGGTGATGGGGACCCCCGGAATTGTGTTCCCCGGCCCCCCCGCGGATCTCTCCTTCCTCCAGGGGAGTGCCCCCTTTCGCCCCCCCCCCCCCCCCCCGCCTCCTTTGCTTCTGCAGGACCACCCCCTGCTGGAGTTCAGTATGCCCAAGACACAGTAGTTCTGAAGATTTAAAACCTGTGCGTTTATGTGGACAGTGACTGGAACCTGGGATCTAGGGCCTGGGCGTTGATGCCAGGGACATCACAGGGGCCACCCATGAGAAGGGGGCAGGGCAGGTGGTGGGCACAGGGGGTGCAAGGTAAGGAGGACCAGGAGGCCCCCCGGGGAGATGGGGAAGAGACTCAGCCAGGATGTTCCTGGCATGAGGGACTCTGAGAAGAAAAGGGTAAGATGTAGAGTTTCTCAGTCACTTCTGCTGTCTTCACGCACAGCAGTGACACACTCATGTGACACAGTCCTTAGAAAAAATTAAGAGTTAATGATTCCTCAGTGTCTTTAAATGGGAGAAGAGGTAAAGATTATTATTTTTTGTATAAAGATTTATTTATTTGAAAGACAGTTGGGGCTGGCGCTGTGGCTTAGCAGGTTAAGCGAACTTCTGCAGAGCTGGCATCCCATATGGGTGCCAGTTCAAGTCCCAGCTGCTCCACTTCCAATCTAGCCCCCTGCTAATACACCTGGGAAAAGCAGTAGAGGATGGCCCAAGTGCTTGGGCCCCTGCACCCATGTGGGAGACCTGGGAGAAGCTTTTGGCTCCTGGCTTTGATGTAGCCCAACCCTGGCCATTGCAGCCATTTGGGGAGTGAGCCAGAGGATGCACGATCTTTCTCCTCACTCTCTGTAACTCTGATGTTCAAATGAATAAATACTTAAAAAAAAAAGAAATGGAAGACAGTGATGGGTAGAGAGGAGAAACAGGAAGAGAAGTACCTGCCATCCACTGGTTCACTCCCCAAATGGCCACGAGAGTCGGGTCTGGAGCAGGCTGAAGTCAGGTGCCCGGAACTCCATCCGGTCTCCCACATGAGTAGCAGGGGTCTAAGTACTTGGGTCATCCTCCCGCTGTCTTTCTAGGTGCCTTAGCAGAGAAGCTGGGATTAGAACCAGCATTCCTATATGGAATGCTGGCATCAGAGGCAGCCACTAAACCCCCTGTGCCCCAAGGTCAGCCCTGGGATTGGGATTTTTTGGTTCTGCCATCCCTCTCATTGACGCGCTCTCCATCACAGTGGATCCGAGAAGTGACGGGCTACGTCCTCGTGGCCATGAACGAGTTCTCTACGCTACCCTTGCCCAACCTCCGAGTGGTGCGCGGGACTCAGGTGTACGATGGGAAGTTCGCCATCTTTGTCATGTTGAACTACAATACCAACTCCAGCCACGCGCTGCGCCAGCTCCGCTTCACTCAGCTCACCGGTCAGTTCTTGAGGAGTCCTCTGGCCTTGCCCCACAGCCAGCCTGCTGACAAGGACCTCCTGGAGGAGGACCCCTGCCTTCCCACTTTAGGTGCCCCTCTGGGGCACCCCGCAACCTTGGCCTCTGTGGTCTCAAGACCCCCTGGGGGA